ATTATTATGATTATTATTATTATCACCATCATATTATATTTAATGTTATCATTATTTATTATTATTATTATATCATCATCGCAATCATTATTATTATCATTATCATTATATTATCATTGTAATGATTATTCATTGTAATGATTATCATGTAATGATTATCATTATGTTGCTATGTTAATTTTTATCATTTTCATTATCACCTTTCTTTCTTTCTTATCATTAAGAACGGTTTGGTACCATTACCATCATCATTATTAGCATTATCAATCCACTGTTCCTACCATAGTTCCTCCTCCCTGACTACCATTTCCATACCTGTTCCCCCGAGATGAATTTGCGGCACTGGTAAGCAAATTTCCCAGGTCGGTCAAAGTACTGCTTGTCCGAACATATGGATATAGCGACAACGGGCTGTTAAGGAGAGAGAAAAAAAAATATGCCAATGATAAGATAAGGAAAAATGATAAGGGTAAAGTTGTGTAAAGTTGATGAATATATATATATATATATATATATATATATATATATATATAATATATAATCAGTAGATTATGTCAATGTATGCAAATGATTGTGTCTATGCACTTTTTTATTGTTTTTCTCTTGTATGTGTGTGCCATTCTGCATGTGTTCTACGTATGTGCGTGTATTGTGTGTGTATGTTTCTGCGTACACGTACATGCGTAAACGGATATGAAAGGGCAAAAGGGAAAAGAGGCCAGAGAAAGAAAACGGAACTCACCATCTGAAGTATAACCATACAAATCCTGTCATCCGTTAAAAAAGCCCCATCACTGCCGTCAATTGTCATTCCCGGGTAATCCAAGCATATCAGGTAGTCGAGGTCATTTTGCCTTCCCTCTCGCCATGCCACTCCGACTGCCACGGAGCCCTCCCTCGGCAGGCACTGGTGCTCCCACGTGTCCACGCCCTTGGGAGGAGAGCTTCCCGGGCACGCGCTGCAGCTGAACTCAAGCGGGACGGCCGACACCTTCGAGTTCGGGAAATCTACAAGGGGCGGGGCAGCCGGGGGGTCAGTGCTTACAAGCACACACACACACACATACACACGTACATGATATTTATTTATTTATTATTCATCTATCTATATTTTCCTTTTTATGGTGATATTTGCCATTGTTGCTGCTCTCAGGTACAAATTTGACTATAATTCAGTATGAAGAATGTATAGACTGAAAATGTAAATCAATTATATGCGTAGAATCAGGTCGACTATGAGTGAAGTACCATCAAAGAATACGTGTTTTTCGCAGGTCATACATTATGATTTTGCACATTCAACATCAAACCTGAAGGGCCTCATCATTCTCCAGGTTGCACTCAGCTCATTCCCAAATTACCTCGCACGCACAGGTCGCAGCGGATGTCGGGAGTGACGCCTCGGAGGGAGGAGAGGGATTCACACTTCCCTTCGGAGGCCAGCCAGTTAAAACCTTTACAAGTCGTCTCTAAAAATGCAAGAAGATAGCTCAGTATTTTTAGGTACATGATCTAGGAATTATTAACAGCCCTTGCGAACTAGATAGGGCAGATTACAAATCACTCTCTCTCTCTATCATCTATTTCATTTCATGTAACTAATTGTCTTTAACAAGCGGTTTGACAATGTTGTGAAAGAACAAGGGGACTTCCATTATCCTAGATATAACTCAAAAATTAAGAATATGCGTATGCTAGATCTGCATCTCACGCGAACCACAGACGCCAGCACAGGTAATCCTCGAGGGAAGGGTGAGACTGACGATGATATCACCTCCCCAAGCTGTACTCTCACGCCCTCCTCCCCCAAGCTGCACCTCTCACGCCCTCTTCCCCAGCGCTCACGCCCTCCTCCCTCAAGCCCTCCTCTCCCCAGCTGTACCTCTCACGCCCTCCTCCCCCTGTACCTCTCACGCCCTCCTCCCCGCTGTGCCTCTCACCGCCCTCCTCCCCCAAGCTGCACCTCTCACGCCCTCCTTCCCCCAGGCTGACCTCTCACGCCCTCTTCCCCAGGCGTGCCTCTCACGCCCTCCTCCCCCAGGCTGTACCTCTCACGCCCTCCTCCCCCAAGCTGCACCTCTCACGCCCTCCTTCCCCAGGCTGTACCTCTCACGCCCTCCTTCCCCAGGCTGTGCCTCTCACGCCCTCCTCCCCCAGGCTGCACCTCTCACGCCCTCCTTCCCCAGGCTGTGCCTCTCACGCCCTCCTCCCCCAGGCTGCACCTCTTGGCCAACGAAGACGAAGCTCCCAGAGACACGACCGACGGGAGAATACAGAGGCTAGCGAAGATCTCCATTTGTGCAGCGAGGAACATGTAATTTGCACTCTTACTTGCCGTTGTTAGAGCCTGTAGAAGAATGTGGAAGAGAGGTGTACACGCAATGCAAGCACAGACAAATAAACGTACATTAGGAACATTTAAATACATACACACGTGGAGTGCGGTTTAATTTTACAATATTGTTACTATTACTATTCTCATTATCAAAACTATCATCACTGTTATCATTGTTATTATTGTTATCAACGTTATCATCATTAGTATCATTACTACGGTAATATATCATTAATGTTATTGTTATTATCATGATAACTATCATAATCCTTATCATTATTATGACTATCATCATTACCATTATCGCTTGAACTGGTAGTGATAGTAGTAGTATTAGTAGCAGTTGTAATAATTGTTACTGTAGTAGCAGTTATTATTATTATCACTATTATTGTTATTGGCATTTTTTCCTATAAATTACTGGGTACGTATGTGTGCATGCATAGGAAAATGTAAGGGGCAAAATATTTGTTTATAGAATATGAAATACATTTACCGAAATCCCGATAGCTACTTATCGTATTTGACTGACCAGACTGTGATAAGAAATACCTGCTTTAATGTCTCTTAATGGTGCTGTTTTTGTTGCTGTTGTTGTTGTTGTTGTTTTTTCTTTCTTTCTTTCTTTTTTGTGTATGATCCAAACGCTATTGTTTGCTATTCAATTCTCCTTCAGTAAATAAATTTAATGTAATGAGTGCTGTTCAGGAATAGCATCCTTTAGGTAATACTGGTTAGTTAAATTCGTAACTAATTTATATTTCATGAGATCTGCTTGATTTTCCGGGCGAGATTCATTCACGGACGGCGCTGTGGCAGATGAGGGTCGGGCGCAGCGAGACAAAGGGGTTTGAAGTTCCGGGAGCTTGAGCCAGATATTCTGAAATTTGAGCGAACTAGTTCTGAAATTCCGGTAGTCTGAGCCACAAATTCTGAAATTTGAGCAAAGAAGTTCTGAAATTGGGGTAGTTTGAGCCTCAAATTCTGATGTAAGCGCAAAGAAATTCTGGAACTCCGGTCATTTACGATGACTTAATGGTTTTCAAACGCCTTTGAAAACTTTGGAAATCCTTCAGAATGCGGAAATCCCTGATAAATCTGTCTGGAAATCCGGAAATCTCGGTAATTTTGGGGGATTTCGGAAATCCCGGAAATATCGTACGCTACTTTGGGTAGTGAAAGGTTCCTCGTATATGGGTGTGTAAACTGCATGCACACACGCACACACATGTGTAACCACATGAAACTTTATCATTATTCATTTATGATGTCATATTCCGCCCAGGCTTAAAAAACAATATGAAGTACTTTCTAATAATTATGATTATTAATCACTACCTTCGTGACGAGTTTTGTTGGTAAATCAATAAAAATTACCTTTAGTTTGAAATGAAATATGTAATCTACAAGAAAGATATGGGAACATTCAATTGCAATATTTACCAAATAAATACCAGGGGGTAAGTCTTTAATCTGACACAGGCTCTAACACACACGTCTCATATTTCATATGCAGCAGAACGTTTCCATGAATATATATACCATCTTTATTACTAAATGTTCTTCATAACAGATATCTTTGATCTAAGATTCCCATTATTTAAATTAACAACAATTGAATATTACTGATATCAGGTTTTATTTTTTTAATTGGGTGGGACTGAGGACTAAACGTTTTGCTTAAAGCATGTAGCGATGCATTTAATGTAGTCGAGCTGGAAAAGTACCAAAATTCTGCGATAAAATTATATCTGATGGTGTGATGATGGATTATCTTTATCATCTCTATTTCCTAATGTATTGCAAACATTTCAGTTTAATGAATATCTCAATTATCGGTCCTAAGGCAACAGAAAAATATAAGTCAGACGAGTGCAGGGGCGGGCCTAAGTTATGATTGCATCATGCTGAAGAAAATTCAAAAAACGTTGGGACTTTCGCTTGGCTGTCTCAAACTATCGTTCTTGCACACACCACATCACGGCGCGCCGTGCGCACGATATAAATACATATCATTGTTCTAGTTCCGAAATAGAAAAAACATCAATCAAGACATCCTCTACCACCAAATACAATCGAATTTTTCCAATTCGTTTTCTTTTTAACGTGCGAAAATATGTGCATTTGTAGAAAGGTTACTCAGGGATCTGCATCTTTATTATTCCTCACTCAACCAAAT